ATATATATATATATTATATATTTAGTATAACACTTTTAATTTGTGAAACTTACATGTGTTATATTATAATAATTTTTAACTTACAACATATAATTACATTAAAAATAAATATATAAATTGATAAATAATTTTATTTTTCTAATAAATTTTAATAAATATTATTATTTTTTATTATTATAAATATAAATATAATTTATTAATTTCATATATACAATATGGATGTCAAATCGAAGATCATCAAAAGATGGTTAATTTGATATATAATATATATAAAACCGATAAAAAATAAAAAAAGTTATCAACTTTTAAAATACATTTACAATTCAATATCTAATTGAAGGAAACAAATCAAAGTCAGAGATATATTAGTCATTTAGTGCCTCACTATGTAAAATTACAAATAATTAAAGGGTTATATTAGTACAATGATATTAAAATACCTAAGTAAGATAAATAATATTTATGGAATGTCTGAACCTAAATTATTATTATTAATGTATCAATATTATTTGTGCAAACCTAATTACGAAGCATGATTCTTCGCCAAGTAGGATTTCGAAGCACCAGAAGCAGCCACGTAGGCTCAACGCATTCGGGAATTATATATAAGGAGGATTAATAATCTAGGTTCAGACATTCTATAAATATTATTTAGTTAACTTAGGTATTTTAATATCAATTTTTACTAAATAACCCTTTAATTCTTTGTAATTTTACATAGTGAGCACCAAGTGACTAATATATCTCTGACTTTTGATTTGCTTCCACAATTAGCTATTGAATTGTAAATGTATTTTAGAAGTTGATAACTTTTGTATTTCTTATTGGTTTTACGTATATAATATATCAAATTAATCATCTTTTGATGATTTTCGATTTGACATCCATATTGTATATATGAAATAAATAAATTATATTTATCTTTATAATAATAAAAAATAATAATATCTACTAAAATTCATTAGAAAAATAAAATTATTTATTAATTGGTATATTTATGTTCAATGTAGTTATATGCTGTAAGTTAAAAAATATTATAATATAACACATGTAAGTCGCACAAATAAAAAGTGTCATATTAAATATATAATAATAATATATATATTTATAAAAGGTATTTAAAATTTCAACTACTTTTTCTCATTAATTTTAGATTTTAAGAAAAAAAAACTAGCAAGCACCCGTGTAATATACGGGCGTTGTACTAGTATATGATTGTTATGGTAAAATTATGAAAATAAATCTACAACAACTAATAAATAATTAATAGGGTATTCACTAATCACACATTTTATATGGATTACAATTAATTTTTTTTTATTGTTTTCAAATTTATTTTATTATATATTTTAATATATTTGACTTAAGAAGAGACGTAAGTTTTAAATCTTTGTTTATATTCATTTATGTTTATACGTAATCGTTCCTATGACTCGACTTATGAAGTCATTCACATTTATTCACCAATAGTGTATTGACACGTGTCGGACAATAAATACAATTTGGACAAATGGTAAATTACTCTAAA